TCGGGTAATTGACTGTTGGCTTCTGAATTAGAAAGTGTTGCTAGACATGAAGTCATAAATTCTCTTTGGATATTTTTTGGTGGTTTTGCTTCTTTTAAAGGATCATCCATGTTTGTAGTTATGTTAACTATTCAATTTAAAAATAGATTCCTATAATGAAATCAAGTTTCAGAGAAAGAAGCTTCACAAAAATTACAGCCTATGTAAAATGGTATTTCTCAACAGAACTACGTAATAGCTGAGCAGGTCATGTTAAAAATACTTCAAAAGTCTGTGGATTTCTTAAACTTTATTATTCTCTTTACTCAGATGATAAAAAAAAATTTGTAATTTCAGAATGTTCACCATATTGTTGTGTTGTAGCACTGTATAAACTATATGCATTAGACAAAACAAATGCACAATTTTATTACAAATGCTAAGACACTATATTTCTCCAGTATCCAAATTGCTGTTAACCATGCAAATGCTTTTGCAAAATATATTTACTACTAGATTCTATTTAGTTCAAGTATTCTACATTTCAAGTATACTTACAGACCTTTTTTTTTTAATAGGTTATTTAGAGGGCATTATGACAACTAATAATGTTTACATATGCTGTTTACCTGCTGTACACTATGCAAATATTAATCAATATTTAAGCCAGCACATACTAATAAAGTAAGGAAAAGTAGTATAAGAATGAATAGCTGACTGACCTTTGTCATGGTCTGGCTATATCTCAGTGTATTTCCTACTATACTAAGTCATCAACAGCATATTTTACAGTGCTTGTAATTAATTTGGGATGTAGCAGCTTAACTGGTGAAATGATTAGCATTTTTTTCATTTCTGAAGGAAATGTTTTAATTTCTGTTAGCATTTACAATACATGCAACATTCTGGATGTTTACTTAGGTTAGCAAATTTGTTGAAGAGTCCATATGTTTACCATGTCTTCCAATACATAGTCTTGGGTAATTTATAAGAGTTTCTTGTTTGCAACTGTCTTTATTTCAATGTTTGAATGCTTGTGAAGGAAGTGTCTGAATTGTGTTGGTATTATTTTAAAAGACTAAACTTTATGGATGTTTGGGGGAGGGATGGAATGAAACTAAGTTTTATAAAAAATTATTACTTAATAATATTTAGTAACATTAATAAATTACCTTTACCTGTTTAAAAATTAATAATTAGTTTTATATTTTTATTAATATTCCATCCAACCAAAAAAATTAATGGGGTAGAGTCATGATGCTGTAAGACATGTGGTCTGATCTTGTTTTTATTCAATAGCTTAAGTCAACAGCATTTTCCAGCAAACTTAGTATTTGACTTATTCATTCAACAAGGTCTGTTTGCCTTGTGTTTCATATCTGGATGCACTTAGTGATGTAACAACTTAGGAGAAAAGCTTTTTGTTGATTTTTAAAATGACTGTGAGAAAATTGAGTAACTTATGTTGTCAGGTATTATTTGAATATTAATTGTTGCTTAGTCATAATAATGTGAGAAGTTTGTATCTTATTCCTCATGCCACAGAATGAATAGCAACTTGGGTTTTATACCTTTCCTGAATAATGACTTTTTTGTCAGAAAGTTTTCTCACTGAGAGGCTATGGGGTAAAGTAATAAATGGGATGTGATCAGCATCATTTTGCTTGACTTGGACTTTGTTCTGATGTGCTTTAATGACTCCCTCAGCATTATCGTTGATTGGATGTCACTGTAAAATATCTCTTCCCATCTTGCACTTTTAAATCTTCAAATAATTTGCACGTTTTCTTTAAAGATGTTTTCTTTCAACGTGATGTATGGTGCTGGCACACCGAAACCCGTTCCCATGCTGCTCCCCTGCACCAGGTGGCGCTGGGCCATTATGATCCCAGTAACAGGCAGGCAAACCCTGTGATGTACTTTTTCAAATGCTATGTATCACAGCTAATGTTATAAGGAGAAAACACGATAAATAATCCTATATCCCTTTAGGTGGTGGGAAACCTGAGAGGTGTTGCATTGAATAAACCTCCAATCCGTGCACAGCATGCTGGAGACGCCCTGTTCATAGAAGAAATTTCCACCTTTTCGTCATTTTAGCTATTATAGGATTGTCTTATAGGGGAACAACTTCATTCGTCATTTCTACCGTCAGAAAGAAAGGATGTTCATACGAGAACTTGTTGTTGCACTTTTAGATAAAGGCAAGGATGCAAAAGTGACATTGTTGCTCGTACCAAGTGGATGCTGTCTGCAGTCTTCTCTGGTACAGTTAGCTGGCCAAGTTTATTCTATGTCCAGGAAATATATGTAGCACAGCCCAAAGGCCAAGTTGGATGTAAGACACGCAGAAACACGTAGAAAGTAACTGATGTCCTTCTGCAACTTGTACCCAATGGAGAGGGATGTGTAGCCTGCTCAGAAGCTTTGTGCTTCTCTCAGTCATGAACATGCTGAGAACCTCAAGAAGGAAAAATATGCACTGAATAGTAGTAAGTTTGAGAGCATGGAAGAAATTGAGAGAACCTCAAGTAGCTGGATTAGATAATTATGTAGGTAGTACAGATCCATTATTGTTTATATTAATCTGGCCCAGTGCCAATTGCTCCACAAGGAATACATATTTGGCAACTTCCCCACCTACAGCAGCAGGCTACTGGATCACCTGCTGCTGTATCAGTTCCTCGGTGTTGCTCTTGATTGTATGACGTAAGTTAGCAAAACACAGGGCACGAGGCAAATTCAGAATTTAGGACCTTTAGGGGCTTTACCATGGCTGTTTACATCTTTAGTTCCTGCTCTGACTGGTAGAACTGACCTTCCATTGTATGGCATTTGGTGCCATACGCTTGCTGTGGTAACCATTCCCACCACAAATAGCTGCTAGCATGTGAATGTTCTGTCTTATTCTCTTCTATTCATAGTCTTGCTCTATGGTGCCTTAGTGGTCCTTGGCCTTAAACTCTAGAACTGGACCTCTGATTGCACTGTGTGCACACATTGACTTTCCAGTAGGCCATGATAGTGACAGGGGAGTTTTCCCTGGCCATGTAGGCAGGTTAAGAGGTTCCTCCCTCAAAACACTGCAGAAAGCAGGATTTTTGGCACTCCCTAATCTACTATTTTGTGAGTGCCAAATGTGGGCTGACAGCAGATATTATCTCACTCAATGCCACTTTCATGACGCTTCCAGTTCACAGGATTTTAACAGAAAATTTCTAATTCCTTGCATTTTCAGCTGATACAACCAATTTAGAAGATAAAGTATCGTGAGGCTTGAAGGCTGGATATTTTTAGAAGGATCTTTTTTTACCTTATGTACAGCCATAAACCACCTTGCAGACTAGATCCCTGATTGGTTCATGTCCTTCCCTGTGACCTCCCAATCTTCTTGAATTGCTTGTCAGTGGGTAACTGAGATAAGGAGCTATCAGGGATTTTCAGATGGTTTTGAATCTGCTTTAGTTCAAATTTTTCATTCCAATAGATTTTAATTAGTCCAACTGCAATTAGAGTGACATAATTGAAGTAACTTTTCCATGCTTAAGTACATTTTGGCACTTTTTCTAATATACCAAATACCTGAGTCTTCAGAAAAATGTTACTGGTTTGGACATTCAAACCTTATTCACCATAATTCCTCACTATAACCTCCTATTCAGATTTCATATGTGAATGTCCACCAGTAAAATGACAGATGACTTTTGTTTGTGCATTAATCTGTGTGAATTTCACATAAAACTCTTTTTTAGGTGCTACATGAACATCAAAGTGGAACTTCATCTCTAATCTCAGAAAAGAATCTACTTCCAAAGCATTTGACAAACAAATTTTTTGTTGTTGTTGTTTTAAGTTTAACTTACAGGGAGGGAGACCCATTTTGTGGACAAATTTGAGTAGATTAATAAATAGTATTTGTATATATGTAACCAAAACAGTAATTTATCAGGTAGGAGACAGATGCAAGGGAATAACATGCCAATCTGCATATACAGTTGTGTTGTGTTCATGATGAACTGCTGTTTATTCAGGGCCAGTGTAGCTTGTCAGCATCAGAAGAACTATTAGCTAAAAGATGACAAAAAAATTATCTCAAATACAAATAGCAGAAACATAAAGGAGAAAATAAAATTTCTAAGTCTTTGTTCACTGGCAGTTATCAGAACTGGGGACTGAAGAGAGACATTTATACTTTGTGCATTATGTCCCCAGGTGAGAAAAAGTGATGTATGTCTTACATTGCAAAATCTGGATAATTGAACACTGAGCTAGTCCAAGTATAAATGAGAACAGGAATAACAAATGCAGTGTTTACCTACTGTCTATTTTGTGTGTGGGATGCATGAAAATAACCTTTTTTTTTTTGACACAAAGCAATTTTAAAACTAGTTTGCCTTACTCTATCCTTATTTGGGGGGCTTGTTGTTTTGAAGACTTGCACAGAATTCAAAGAGGAAGAATAAACAAATCTAACGGAATAATCCATGGTAAAATTGTATACAATCATGTAACATCATAATAGACACATATAAAGGGCTAAAAAATTAAGGTAGCACATACAATTTCCTTTTGCGTGCCTGATTTTGCACCTCAATACTATTATTGTAGCATCTATTGTTTTAAATGAAAGATTGACATGGCAAATTTCATAAAATATTTTTATTTTTCTAACAAAAAAGGGGTTTTATTCAAGAAATAGCAGTAGCCCAATACTGTTAAGCAACGTTGCAAAATAAAATAGCAGGAACAAGTAACAATTCTGTTTCAGCAGCAGTTTCAAGAAGGCAAAACCTACATTTAGTATTTTAGTGTTGTCCAGAAATAAAAGTCCATTATTGTGCCGTGAGACCAGTTCTTGATTTTTTGTAAGTACATAGCTGTTTTGACAAATGGAATGGAATTCTCTTGCCAGTTACAGACACTGATGCTTGTTAATGTTTCTGGCTATTTTCACCATAGACTTGGATGGAAAGAGCAAGAAAAGACACTGACATTTCTTTCAATTTCTTACCATATTTCAGGACTGCATATTACACAGAAGTCTTGTTGCTGAACTGAAAGCATTCATAGATAAATATGGGTTTGATGTACTTGTCATTTTGGCCAACTGCTTGTCAGATGAGAAGCAAACGAAACGACAAATAGCGGTATACTCGGAAAACGTAGAGCTAGGCAATCAAGTAAGTACCTGGAAAAACAACCTACTAATGTCTTTCCAGAAAAAAATGTTTGTTTTTTTAAAGTAGTATATGTCAAAGTGTTGAATAATTAAGTGGTGTCAAAAAGTAGCAATAGTTGTCTAGCAACTGAGTAGCTATTTGAAAAAGCTGCATTATTTATATGATACAAAATGAAAGATTGTGATATTTATGATTGTTTCAGACTAGCCTACTAGGAAGAGTGTAAGATTACAAGAAATACAGAAAGAGACAAGATTTTTCAATTTAGCTAAAACAGAATGATTTTTTATTTTATTTTATTTATTTATTTAACTAGTTTTGGCTTGGTCTTGTGTTGTGATCTACACGAATGAGTTTTTGGCAGTGAGGGACAAGCAAACACATTGTAAATGGTAATGACCAGAACTCATGTTATTGCTAAAGAATTTAAGCTCTGAAATGAAGCCAAATTATTCCTAGGGTGTTCATTTATCCAAAGCCAGCTGCTGTCAATTTTTTTGACTGTATTTGTTCCCAAATGGAAAAAATCATCTCGGTGGCAACTTTTTGAATGTTTTTCTCAGTCTTATAAGCTTCTGTTCTTTAGGAACAGGTGCCTAAATGACTATTCCTTTCAAGGTCAATATAAATATATTTATTTTATTAGTCTAATTATCCCATTCTAGAAATACTTTTCTCACGTACCGTTACATATTTTACTCAGATTTCTTAAGGCAACAACTAAACATTTTTTTTTAATTTTCTTTTGCTAGTGAAAAGTGAACTTGACAGTCAAATGGTATAATTTCAAGTAAATATTCTGACCATTTATATAATGCATATTTTGTATTGATCTTCTATTTTAATACTTCATCTGTTTAGGAATCATAGTAAAGCTGTTACAGTGAAAGAAATAGATTAATAGGAATAGATAGGTATGTCTATGTTACACAGTGAAGTAGACAATATGTGCCCTTATGCCCATGATTGCAATGGCTTTTGAAACATCCTATTTTTCAACAGATCTGCTGTGAATTAGAAGAATGTCAGAATCCTTGTTTGGAGCTGGATCCTTTAGAATGTGGATGTGACCAAATTCTCATTTATCATCAAGAAAATTCTTTGGTGACCTGTGATCAAATTTTTCTTCTAGTTAAGGAAGTTATGAATAGAAGACAACCGGAAATGGTATCAAACAGTAGAACTTCTTCTACTGAAGCTGTTGCTGGAAGTGCTCCACTTTCACAAGGATCTTCTGGTATTATGGAGTTATATGGTTCTGATGTGGAACCACAGCCCATTTCTGCCAATTTTATAGAAAATCCACAAGATCTAAATGGATCTATGCAAGCCCACGTTGATGTTAATGTAGACCTTGTGAGCCCAGACAGTGGATTGGCTACCATTAGAAGCAGCCGGTCTTCCAAGGAGAGTTCTGTTTTCCTTAGTGATGATAGCCCTGTTGCAGAAGGTGCTGCTTCCCATCACAGTCTTCTGCCTGGCTTTGACTCCTATAGCCCTATTCCTGAAGGAGCAGTAGCTGAAGAACAAAAACCTCAGTCTAGAGACAATAGTGATAACTTTGATCTTTTCAATTTCGATCTGGCACCCGTGGTTACAGCTCCATCCGAGTCATCATCTCATTCTGTCGATTGTTCCCCAGCAGATGACTATTTCCTTAATAGTGATTCATCAGAAGGACATCAACTCACTGTGCAGAAAGAACTTGATGAGGCAAACCTACTAGAAAATGATACAGCAAATTATTCAAATGATTTATTTGTAACACCGAATGAGGAAGACAATTTAACTGAATTTGATGAGAATCCAGGAGAACTGTGTGAGAAAACTTCAAATTTGATTGATTTAGTTGAAGGTGATTCTTCACCAGAAATTTTGAAATCAGCTGATTCAAGAGTTCCACCAACTCCTATGAACAGTCTTGTAGAAACTTCACCATTAGATAATGGGCAGCCTTTATTTTTCCCACAGGATGTCATTAAAAAAATTAATGAAATAGATGGCACAAATTATTCTCAGTCTCGTGTTAGATATGGGAGCTGGTGGGATGGCTTTGACATAGAGTCCAGAAATGCTGATACATGGAGTTCAAGTGAGCAGGAATCTGTATTTCAGAGCCCTGTCTTATGGAAAGATTGTAAAGAAAGTCCCTTGCTACGAGAACATATTGATAGAAGAGCCTCAGATTCTGTATTCCTACAAAAACAGCCAAAGCAAATGGAATACATGAGAGCAGGTCTGTGGGATAATCAATTTAAACAAGATAATTGGAACCATGAGAATCAAGAGAAAAACAGTGAGCATTCACGTTTGCAAACTGCTTCTTTAGAGGAGACAAAGCAAGAACTGGAGAGCTTTACTAACCCATGGAATGTCAGTCAGCCGACATCTATGATATCAGATGCATGGTGTAGTGGTGAAGGGAAGAGTAGTCAGCTAGCTGGAAATTCTTACGAAGTCTGGACTAAGTTCGAAGCAGGAGACATTGCTAGATCCTCAGAAAATATGTGGAACATGCCCAGACTGGATAGAGAAAAAAAATCAGTGAATATTCCTGAGGAATGGGCCATATCAAAAACTAGTTTATCAGATTCTTCAGAAATCACAGCGGACAATGAGGCTGAAAATCCACCTATCCAGATATCTCCAGAAGCCTGGGATAAAGACAGATATTATTCAGTAGAATATGGAAAATCTGAGAATATAAATTCTGTTTTCAACAATATGCAAAATAATTCCAAGCTGCAAACAGAGGAAAAAACTGTATTTGGTGACCCTAAACGTAGACCAAAACAATTTGAAAATATAGAGACCTGGAATATCTATGACAAAAACAACATCCGGAAAGAAGTAACAGAAGTAGTAGTGCCATGGGAGGATACCTTCTTGTATAAACACTCAGATCTTCCTTCATCCAACATAAGTGAAGATTTAGTTATTTCTCCACCAGACACCAATTATTCAACATCTGATTCATATGTATCACCTACATATGTGGAAGATGAAAGAGAAAATGAGGACAAAGATTTTGATGAAGGATCAGTTATTGATAAATTGATAAACCCAAATTTGGCTGAGCCAAAAGTACTTGAGAAAGCAAATAAGGAACCATTATCTCCTAGAAACATGCCTTTTTCAAGCACTGGAAACACAGACATCTGGAACACTCCCCTAAATAATGTCACCCCGTTACAAGAAAGAAATTCTGAAATTACTGCTCTTTCTGTATCTGCTAAACCTTTCCTTAATTCAGAACAAAGACCTAATCAATGTTTTTCAACTGAGATACATACCAGTGAAAATAATTTTTCTGTATCTGAAAACAGAAGAAAAACACCAATATACAAACAAACAGTAAATGACTTATCACCTCCACAGAACAAATTAAATACTAGACAGACTGCAGCTGAAAATGTAGAAACAGTGAGCAGTGTTCCTGTAGAAGACACAGACACATCTACGTCAACTTCGGACACTGGGAATGGTTTGGATCTGAAAATATGTGACTTAGGGAGTGAGCTAATTAGTAAGAAGGCAGTGCAAAACACTGCTGATACGGATGAAAAGCTGGATAGTCAAGATTCAGCGCAGCAGCTGAACTCATGGAGTTTACAGACTGGGCAGGCCTGTGAGGAAGTCTGGGAGAATACAACTGTCATCTCTCAGGACGGAAAAGAGGAATATAAGAGTACAGATGAGATAAGTGAACAGCAAATGCTTAGTGACATCTGTAATAAACCAGTGCAAGAGGACAGTGAATCTTCATGTAACGCAGATTCAGAAGAAAACAGGTCAACAACTGAAGTTCCCAGCTCCCCAGAAAAAACGAGGAATAGTGTTAGTTTAGAAGCATTAGTCACAGAGAATGAGTCATTTTCCAATCAAAGTAATCCAGTTAGTCAGGAAGAGAAGAAAGACTTGTTACAGAATAATGTAGAGTCTTCTTCAAGTCCTTCTGAGGAAGGCAGAAATTATGACTCCAGACCACAAAATTACAATAATAGTGAAACATCACATCTGCTTTCTGAGAAAGCTGAAAAGGAGACTACAGTGATAGAGGATGCAACAAGTCCTGAGATGGAAAGTATGTCTGAAAGTTCTGATAAGGGTAGTGATAATCCTGAAAACAATTCTTCTGAAATGTGCAGAAGCTCGGGCATCTTGGTGGTTGCGCCCCAGCCACATCAACTCCTCTGATGACTGACCCACAAGAAGAACTGGGAGAAGCGAAAGAGGGCTTACATGAAGTGGTTCCTAACCATCCAGGCATTTGTAAATCTGAGTTAGTATCTTTCAAAAATAGCTCTGAACTGAACAGAACTCATGAAAAGTCTTTCACAGATGAGTTTAAGAGTCCTTCTTATGGATATGTTAGTGTTCCTGACATTACAGATCTGTCTGCAGTGGAAAATTCATTTTCACATGAAATAGTTTCTGGGAGAAATGAAAACTCTGAAAATTTAGACCCTGCTAATAATCTTTGCAGAGAGCCATATGTAATGTTTAATGACAGTTTTCCCCAAACTGCTTGGAATTCACAGCCATGTGAAGATTGTCAGTCTCCTGGAACAAGCCCTGAGGCAAGTGAAGCCCTTGAAATGGCAAACACCACAAGCAGCCTTTCAAAAGCTATACAGATCAAAAGTTATTTGGAAGAAGATAATGTGTGGAGTGATTCAATAAATGATTACGCGCACTCAAGTGGAACAAGTCCTGATTTAAGTGATGCATCTGTGAATGTGTGGGGAGACATTCCAGTTGCCAGTCATCACAAAATCAGTAGGGATATGTGGGATATTAAGAATAATAAAAATCTTGAAGATGCTTACAAAAGGAATGAATTTGACAATAAATGTGAAGAAGGATTTGAAACCAAGGCTGAACAGAACAAAGTTCCTAAAAGCTTAGATTTTTGGAATGCCCATGTAGATGATGATACTGTATCTTCTCTATCAAGTCCTGACATAAATGAAGATTCAGAGAATTCAGAAACAGGTTCAAAAGTGATTCATGAAGATTCCATGTATGAAAAGGAACAGCACAAAGGATCTGAAATTGGAGAGGATTATGCTCAATCCAACGCAACAAGTCCTGAAGCAAATGAAGACAATTTAGATGCAAAATCTAAGGTGGGAGAGGAGGTCCAGGTAGGCATCTTCAGTGAAAATCCTGAAACAATTAAAGCTGGGAAAGTATTACAGGAGGCCTTGACTACAATGGAGTGTAATGAGACTTCTGAATATTTAAGTCATTGTGAAACACTTCAGAAGAAAGCTCAAGTGTGTATTTTCAGTGAAAAAACAGGTAGTGGAGAAGACGCATATTTGTATCTAATGAATGAAGATACTACACCAACTTCTGCTGGTGGTGATAAAGAAGAGTATTCTTCAAAAGCTGTAGATACGTGGAGTACGTCATTGGAAGCCGATTTAAAAACTGATCCAAAATCCACAGCGGGAACATTTGCTTTTCCAGATGACAGTTCAGAATGGTGGAATTCACAACCTGGTGAAGAAAAGCAAGTGGAAGATCAGTATTCTGTTTCAAATCACTCTGCAACAAACCAGTTAACAAATAGTAAGAATGACCCCTGGGGATCACCCTCACAAGATGAAGAACTAAAAGCAGCACATTTCACTAATGCAAGTAATGACGGAAATCAGCCTCTCTCTCTGTACTGCGATGAAAAAGAAGATGAAAGGCTAGTACATCCTATGAATATTCCTGGTAGTCAAATAAATCAAGATGCTATACAGTTCAAACAATTTGATCCCTTCATACTGGATAAAGAAGAAAAGGGCTTGAAAGAGCAGGAAAATGAACTGACTCCACAGAATCCTTTTTCAGATGAGGAACGAGGTATGCCAAATATGTCAGTTCAAGAAATCACTGTACTGGATCTACCAAAAGACAATGAGGGAGATGCAAGTCTCATTCCTCAAGAACAACAGCAGGATACCTGTGAAAGATCAGAAGTGCACAACTCCCTTCCAGGTGCTTTCACTGTAGATGACACATCTTTTGAAATGACAAAGAAGCCAAGTCCAAGTCCAGGGTGGAGTATAATAGTTCCCCAAACTGCATTTATCCCAGATATTTTACAGGACAACACACAAGAAAGTAATCAGCTGCTTTCAGTGGAACCTGACCTGTGGACTAATGCTGAGCAGATTGTTACTTTGAAATCAGATGGTGAAAATCCTGATATATTAAGTCACTGTGACCAAGACAATAGTTCAGAGGCATCAAGCAGTCCTGATGTGTGCCAGGAGTATGAAGTTAAGCATGCGTCTATCTCATCTTCTCAGATGGGGGTGGAGCCTGAAGACAAAAATAGTCAGTCGATTCACACATGGTCAAATATGAGTAGAGAGTCAGGTCTTGATTCAAAGTGTCAGTTAGTAATACAGAAAGTAGAGACACAGTCTGAAAGCAGTAGCCCCCAGGACCATGATCAGGGAAAGACCGATCAGCTAATCTCTTCTAATACTCAGGAGCCTCATGAATTTGCAGTTTTGGAAGAATATGGTCCAGAAAATAGATTTGTTACTGATCCAATTGAATCAGCTGGAATTACCAACGAAGTTTTAGAAGTGACGTCCTTAGATCTGAAAGACACATTCAATGAAAGTTTTACTCCTGCAAGCCATCAAGGAACACCAACTAATACAGCTCAAATAGTGACCTCCCAAATGCGTTTGGTTCCCATAGATTTCAGCCTACCTGATAGGGCAGAACAAAACTTAAAAGAAATCAGTGCCTTGCCTGAAGTTGGAAAATATTCTGATATTGACCATACAGCAATAACTGGTAATGAGCTAGACATGTCAGAAGCATGTGTGGATGACTCTGAGGTGGGGGTAGAACATAACATCAGGAACAGATCAGTGACTAATGTCCCGGCAAGCACATGTGGTGGAATGGCCATACTGGCAGTATTAGGCAGTGAAGCAGGAGAAGGGGAATCAAAGGATAAAGAGATATTTTTTCCCAAATCCTTTCTGCCTGGTGATAATGAAGACCATGAATCTGATTCAAATAATCAACTGGTTGATGACATAGCAAAAGAATCTGAAGATGCAATTGAAAATGATGTTCCTGTGTTTAAGGAAATGCCCAGTGACCAATCACCAGTGCTGCATGCTCCATCATCCTATTTATCTTTTGATGCTGAACCCTCTGGCAGTAGAGAGTATGCAAAGGATGAACTCTTGTTACAGCACCCATTTTGTGACAGTGTTTCTTTGGAAAAACCTTTACCACTGCCAATTCCTTCAGAAGGTGCAGAAAGCATCCTAATGACCAAAGACAGCATTATTAAAGATCAGGTGTCTGGCACATCCACGGAGTGCCTTCAAGAGAATCACACATCAGTACCTTCACTCTCCAAGTCTGAAGTAACTCTAGGAGCTTCTGAGACTTCGACAGGAAAATCTGAAGGAGAAACAATTGATCTGAACTCACCGCCAGGTGGAGATAAAAGATCACCTGATGGTAAGAGAACATGCTTTCCAGAGCAAGTTCATAGAACAAAGAAAGAAGGAAATGTCTGGAGTATTACTGCTGAAAGATGAGGCTTTGAGTGAAGTTTGAACTTTTGTGTCTCCCTGATGTACAAAACTCTGTACTTTGGGAAGACCTCAAGCATCACCCTTCTAGACAGATCCAAATCTTTTAAACATTGAAGTATGAACATTATTTCGGTTGTTTGTACAGGGCCAAGCACATGGGACACTGAATCATTTCTTCCTTTAGGAATGATTACAGTGTTAATGTATAATCTTTAACAATAATAATGATGATGATGTTATAAAATTCAAGTACACATTAACAGAGCAAAGCAAACTGAGAAGAGCTTTATCTCACTGTGCTGATTTAAAAAAATCATGGTGACTGAAATAGTAATTCAAAAACTAAAAGGAGTTTCTGTTTGCCTGTTTTTTTAGAAGCTGGCACTGACTCCCTACTTTGTACGGAGAATGAACCGAGAAATTCCTCTGAGAGCCCCGAACTGAAAAGTACAGAGGGTAAGGAAGATGTGAGGATGCAGGTGCACCGAGATCCAACTTCACTGGACATGGATTACATCCTTGTTACTGAGGAAGAAAATATACCATCAACAAAAGACACCCTTGAAAGAAATGAAAGTAATTTTACATTTCAAGAAGCTAATGTAGCTGAACAAACAGAATCTCATGAAGGCTTTTCACCTGGCTCCTTGGATACCTTTCAGTCAATCTCCATTACAACTGAAAGGGAAGATCACTCTGTTTGTGGGACTGAATGGGACTCTGTTCATGTAGAAGAAAAATGTTCTTCTGTTGTGCCTCAAAAACTGGATGATGAAAGGAGATCTCAGGAAAGCTCTGGGCAAGATGAGGGCTGGATTATATTGGGCCAAAATGAAGTCAGAGACATATCACCTGAAGAGATTTCTGCTGAGTCAGAGATGCCAAAATCGGGATCTGGACATTCTGGAGAAGAACCAGCAGTTGTTGCAACACAGGAATCTATCCTTGACACTCAAACAGAATTTCAAGCAGAAACTCCCCTTCAGAAATCTTTTGAACATGAGGGTTGTTCTCCTTCAGACATCCTGACTACAGAAGACAAGAATTTAGGCATCACAGGAACACATGTATTGCAGGTGTTTGATGGTGATGAGGTATGGGAAGAAAATTCTCAACAGACGCTTGGAAATAACGTAGCAACAGAACAAGAAATGAAGGAGGAAGTAGTGCTTCTCAACAGTGAAAGAGAACAGAGTCAAAACTCAGGGTAAGGACAAAACAACCTGTTTCCTTTCAAAAGTCTTCTCTTCCATTCTTATTAATGTTATTGAAGTGTATGATGTTATGAATAGATGGCAAGACTTTCAAGTCTGAAGTACTAATTATATTTACATGATTTAAGTATCACTATATTCCTCCCTTTGTAAAAAGAGAGTCTTGGTTCTTGGTTACTTGATATGAGTCAAATTAGGATTATTTTGCAATGCAGAAATCTTGTAAGGCCACTTCCCTGCAGGAATAAGTCCGTCTTCCCCCTATGAAGTCCCACAGACTTCATAATCTACCTTTAAATCTGAAACAGATGTGGCCAGGGAACACAGGCCAAACATACTGATGGAATTGCCAGTCCGATGAAATGACAGTAATGAGATTATGGAGGAATCGAAGTGAAGTACTATCTCTGCCTAATGCGAAACTGCTGGGAAGGAAGATAAGAGGGAGTTGAGGCCCAGGGTCAGAAAAAGGTGCTGCTTATAGAGGAAAGAAAAGGATAATGGAAAATTATGGTCTTTGTGGTTATGTCCCAGCTGTAGTCAGGTCAGAGCAGCATTTCTGTGTTTGGACTGGACTGGCAGGTGAGGCAGTTCAAGTATATTTGCACCTGCCTTTGGGTGGAAGTGCAGCCTCTGTGCTTACTGCATTACTACTGCCTGCTGTCTCTCTGCTGTGTCACCAGCTGGGAAGCGAGATGACCCTCTTGACTCCATTTACTGTAGTGTATTGGAGAGGGTGCTTCTGTTGTTGACGACTCATCTTTTACAACCAGGAGGTTGTAACTCCCATAGTGGACTTCTAGGGTAGCCCCAGAGATGCAAGTGTGGAAGTCTGACCTCATTTCTCCTGGGCATCTGCAACTGACATGCTGCGGTTTTACAAAGAGGAACCTGGCACTGGGTTTATACAGTGAAATTCTTGTGAACAGTAAAAGAAATTTCCCAGTACAAATAAAACTAGGGGGTGTAACTGCTTTGTACTTGTCACTCTTTTCAAACTGCACTTACCCCAGGGAACATACGTGGTATGAAACATGTGGAAACATATTTGTGTGGAAGGCAGGACTGAAATTTTACTTTTTTTCTGGTTTCTCCCAAGCAGTTGTCAGTTCAGTGTAGAATACACATCACATTCATAACTTCTATCAGGTCTTAATTGGCTTGCAATTTATTTTAGACTTTATTTTTTTAAATTTTCACTAACAATTTTGCAATTTTAGCATTAGGGTTTCTTTCCGCTAAAGGTGGCATGCCCGTGTATGACAGTATAACCCTGATAACAGCATGTACTAATAATCTGTGATAGGAAAGCACAGCTTTTTGCTAGCCCCCTCCCCACCCCAAACAGTTCACATTTTATTAAGATTTCAGGAATGAATAGGTCAATAGCTGTGATTTATCTTCCCCCAGACTTGTTAAAATACCTCCCCTCTAACCATTTTCACACATTTTTCAAAGAGTATATTAAGAGTATTATTACCGCAAGACCAGACACTGTTATAGCTGAGCTATTTTTAATATAGAGTAAGTGCCGGCTTAATCCTAAACAGAAACCCCGGTCTCAGAAACTCTGAAATATAATGATGTTGCTTGCAGGCTTAAACTTAAGCACCTGTATAGGACTTTACATTTTCTTGACAGACAAGATTTTGAGTAGTATACAGAGCACACTTTGCCCTTCACACACTGCCCCTGGCTGAAATCACTTCAATCTAACTGGACAGACAGTACTGAAGAGAATATGAAATGAGAGGGGCTCTGTTTCTGTAGGGCAGTGTCAGCTTTTATTGATGCAGGTTAGCATTTACTGCCCTAAAGCAAGAGGCAAATCTTCAGAAGGTTTAGCAGAACATGAGCACTCCCCAATTCTGCAGTTCTGAAGTAAATGAAATGCTGAGTGCTTCACCTTGAAACTATCAAAAGTAGAACTGATTGACATAACATTTCTGTTGTACTCAACCCTCCAAGCTTTTAACTTTGATTCCAGAAGGAAAAGCAGAAATTTTGAAATTTTCTACAAAAGAGAAATCTGGAAGAAGCAAAACAAGCAAAATCCCAAGCAGTTGTTTTGAATCCACATAAGTGTGTGGAAGGGCAGCTTGGGATTTGTGCATCTAGGAAAACTAGATGTCCTTTGAGTTTGCATGTTAGGACTAGTCCACACCCTGGAAGTCATCTTCCTCCATTATCTCTGCAGGGTTTCAGTAAGAGTTAATCAAAAACAACTAATTTAAATACATAAAGCTGGGTTTTGACAAACTAGTAGCTTGTAGTGAAAAAAATCTTTAAATCAAAAAATGCTTACCACCTCTGCTCACAATAAATGGTGAATGGGATGGGAAAAAGGAGGGATTGTTTAGAGGTGCTGGCTAGTGGCAGGCTTGCAAATCTGACATGAACAAATCAGCTGTCAACTCCACTATCTCCCATAAAGCATTTTAAATTAAAATCAGCCAGATGCTGACCCTGCTTAAGTCACACTGATTAATTACATGCAGGCAGCATCCCAGGGTTTGACTTGCCATGCTTACATGCCCATGATGTTCTTAGAGAGGAAAAGAAAACTGGTCTAGGTATCTGATTTTAAATTATTTTTATAAATCAACACAACAATGTTGAGAAACCTTTGAAGCAGTAAGATTCTTTGTTATATACCTCAAGAAAAGAATCTGATTTTTGAACTTACACTGGCACTAGGAAAATCATTCCTATGGCCATGGGCTTGTAGGGTTTTTTAACATCTTATTGCTATGAATTGTTAGATTCACTTTGATAAAAACTCAACTGTTCTTTTCTTTGGAGACTTACAGAAATTCCTAAAAACTTGAATCATGCACGTAATAGTAGTTTGCATTGCTGTTTCAGACGTAGTACATTCATTATTGTTAGAGCTTAGTATATTCTCTGAGACCGATTCCCACATTAAAGTCCAAAACTGGACCATATTAATGTAAGAGGGTTTTCAGTGAAAACTTAAATGCATGAAGGAATATGGTGCATCCTGCAAGGAAAGGATACAGTAGTTCTTGGTATAGAACTATATATACTTGGTATATAGTATATATGGTCACTATAGCTTTCACTAAAGGCTTTTTTCTTATCTGACTCAGAATCATAGAATCATAGAATGGTTTGGGTTGGCAGGGACCTCAAAGATCATCTAGTTCCAAACCCCTGCCCTGGGCAGGGACACCCTCCACTAGACCAGATTGCCCAAAGCCCCATCCAACCTGGCCTTGAACACTTCCAGGGAGGGGGCATCCACAACTTCTCTGGGCAACCTGTTCCAGTGTCTCACCACCCTCACAGTAAAGAATTTTTTTCCTTATATCTAATCTAAATCTACCATCTTTTAGTTCAAACCCATTACCCCTTGTCCTGTCACTACACTCCCTGATAAACAGTCCCTCACCAGCTTTCCTGTAGGCCCCTTCAGGTACTGGAAGGCCGCAATTAGATCTCCCTGGAGCCTTCTCTTCTCCAGGCTGAACAAGCCCAACTCTCTCAGCCTGTCCTCATAGGAGAGGTGCTCCAGCCCTCTGATCAGTTCATGGCCCTCCTCTGCACTCTCTCCAACAGGTCAATGTCTTTCTTGTACTGGGGACCCCAGAGATGGACACAGTAACGATTCTATGATTCTATGATTCTTAGCTCTTAGACTGCCCTTCTGCCTGAATTTTTGTACTTATGAAAGGCCATAATTTTGATTCAGGAAAGTTTCTTGAATGCTTCACTAAATGTGACTCTTGCCTTGACTGAATAGTTGTTTCCCAGGATATGCTTAATTAAACCTGCTTGGCATCAGAAAATTAAGCACCCTTAATCTGAAGGTCTGGCTGGGTAGCTGTGCCCTTAGCGTGGATTATGCTCTCTGTTCATTTTTTTGTTTTGTCAAATACTTCTGCTTTATGCATTCTGAACCTGTAATGCCCATCTCTGGCTTTTAGAAGTGGCTTCTGAATCAGGGGCTTTCTCTACTGCAGCCTTTGCTTCCCACAAGGAAGCTTTCCTTGTGGCCTGCCAGTTGTTGTTTCAAATACCCCTTTGCAGCGTATAGAAATTACGTTCGTTATTTTTAGGTATGTACTTCACTGTCACATATTTATGTATGGCACAAACACATTATCTCTGAAGAATAAAGAAACACATCGTTTGTACTCAAAACAGATGATGGGGACATCCCAACTAATGCACAACTGAATTGGTAGTCCAAAGTTTATGGAGGCATTTACTCAGTAACTGCCTTCTAACCCCCCTTCTGAATCTACTTATTCACAAGTCTCTGTTTAGAAAAAAATGAGGTTCGTGCTTGCGTACTGTGCTGAAGTAGGTTTCTTTAGTAGTGGATAAGGGTTGGTAAAGCATGTGGTTTGCATTATTTTCTGCTCTCATCCAGAAAGTGTCTGTCACTTTGTCTAAGAAAATTGACTGTTCTGTAGAAGAGGGAATAAAATTTTTGAAACAGAAAGTGTAAACAAAAATGAGAATGAAGAAGTGGATTAAAACCTTGATGTTTGCTGGTCACTGTCCCCTTCATCCCAATGTCAAACATAAGAACTCTCTAGGCTGTTCAGGTGGGTTTTAAAAAAGTCTGTAACTGGTGGTAAATTTCATCTCTCCTGTCCTGTTTTTCTTCTGCAAGATAAAGCAGCAGCAGCAGGAGAAGAAAAGTATTAAAAAGGTGAAGAAAAGATATAAACTTGTGTCAATAATACACAGACACCAGAAATAATAAACCCTAGAGATTTCTTTGGTATCATAAAAAAGTACAAAAAAATTTGATAGCACATTATTAATGTCAGCCTTTCCAGAAAGAAAATAGCTTTTTATACAGCTTTCCATATGTGAACAGCTGAGAGTGAAGAATTTGTGGAGCACTGTATGAATTTTGCGTAGGCAGGATAATATGCATTGCTGTTGCTGCTGTGGCTGGAGGTGTGCCCGCAGTAAAATTTATGAAGACTGGAGGTCTTTTTCTTCTTGATAGAAGCTG